TATATCCCCCCCCCCCCCCCCCCCCCCCCCCCCCCCCCTCCCCCCCCCCCCCCCCCCCCCCCCCCCCCCCCCCTCCCCCCCCCCCCCCCCCCCACCCCCCCCCCCCTTCCCCCCCCCCGACTTCCCAGAGCCCGTACACGTTATAGGTAAGAAACTAATCTTTGAAGGCTGAGAAAGTTCGTCCTCTTTTTCTCACTAATTTGAAACCAAGGGCTGGTTTTGGTACTTACCCCAACTGTCCAAAGGTGATATTCTCATTAAAACGGAGGCTATCGTCCCTTTCCTCCTGCGTCATGTGGCACCACTTCTCCCTGCAAACACAGGTGGGGATCATGTAACCAGGGTTCCTTGCGCAATCGGCCGGCACATCATGTGTCAAAATTGGCAGGAATGGATGGGCGCAAGGGTGAAGGGAGTAGCCTGCTTTCTCCCTTATTAGCTGTCAATTGTGGCAACCACTTGGGAGATGTTTCTTAAGTCATCTCAAAAGGTGTGTTGCCGATTTCAGATTCTGTATTTGAGCTTGTGTCACTGTGGGAAGTCCAAAGATGAATTTTAAACGAGCTTCCCTTGCATTTGTGGGCTGCGTTCGTGGTTATTTAGCTTCTTTGGAGTCCCCTTTCAAAAACATGCTTAACTTTACAAGCCGAGATGTTTTTCAAGGAAGTCAGTTGCCACCATAATGGTGATTGGTGTGACACACCCAGTCCTTACAAGACATCTGTTGTGTGGGGAGCAGGAAAGGAGAAAGCCATACACACAGCAAGGGAGGGGAGGAATGAAGTGGAAAGGAGAAAGGTTTAAAAGCTCTACCTTCGGTCTGATAACCTGATCAAAATGTTAGCTTTAAATCTGAGCTCCCACCATCTAGAATTAAACATTCTGGAACCGCCCAAGTTCTTGCCGTTTCCACCAACCCTGAAAAAAATCTGGTCACCATTTCAGAGAAAGGAGGACCCAGGTTCCCCCAGAGGAGAGGCCCACAAGAGAGACCACATGGAAAGGGACACACCGGGGAAGGGCCTTCTCTGTAGCTGCTCCGGCCTTATGGAACGATCTCCCCGTGGGGATCCGGACCCTTATTACTCTCCCAGCCTTCTGCAAAGCAATTAAGACCTGGCTCTTCCAGCAGGCCTGGGGCTGTTGATTTATCCAGCACCACTTTATGTTATGAATGTTGTGGGATTTCACCACTATTCCTAGTCCCGATCTAGGATGTGCAATGGAGACTGTGTGTGCAAAACCCCTAGGACAGGGATGGAGAACCCTTTGCACTCAGCAGGTCACAAATCCAGACTCTACTGGTGTGTTTTCCACACACACACACATATACACACACACACGGACCAAAGAGCTCTCTCCAAAACCACTTCTCCAGAACTTCTGGAGATCCCACGAGTGTGCTTCCTTCTCACAAGGTCTGCGGAGGTTCTGAAGATCGCGTGGGAACACTCGCACGTTTTTTGAAGCCCCCCCCCAAAGCAGCACAAGGTCAGGACCCTCTCCCACACCTTCCAGGGGGTCCAGAGGCTTGGTGTGTCCCCCCAAAATGGCATGGCGGCTCCCCCTTGTCATAGGTTCACCATCACTGCTGTAGGGAGAAGAGCAAGCCGGCCTGGGCCGCAGGCAGGATAAAGCCCCAGTAAGAGGGGAAAACGCAGAGTATCATCATCAGGGGGGGAAGAGAGAACTTACTCAGAAGAGGAGATGTGTAAAGTCCAGACAGTTAACAAAAGGAATGGAAGGGGAGGGAGAGACAGAATATGCCAGCCAGACGGAAAGTCACCAAAGGCACTCAGAAGTCAAAAGAAAGGGAGGAGGAGGAGGAGGAGGAGGAGGAGGAGGGAAGCGGAGGAGGAGGAGGAAGGAAGGGGAAACCAAAACAGAACACTGAAACTTCAGAAACTTTCTTACAGACTCCAAGCGGCAACCTCTTTCCAAAGACTTACCCCCGCGGCCAAGACGCAGAAATGGCAAAACCCAATTAACCTAAGCGTGATTCCTGAGCTAGGATATCTGATGGGGATGGAAATGTGGGATGCAAATTCAGAAGACAATAAACAGTAGGCAGCCCGCGTTGTTGTTGTTGTTGTTTTAAAACCACTGGCCTCCACCAGGGAACTAGAAGTTGAGTTCCTGTCTTTGAAGGGAATCCTGCCCATCGTGCAAAATTTCTCCCTATGGCTGTTGCATCGCAGGTTTCCAAAGCAAGGCAAATTTTAGTCAGGAGGCCAAAGTGNAGAAAGAAAGAAAGAAAGAAAGAAAGAAAGAAAGAAAGAAAGAAAGAAAGAAAGAAAGAAAGAAAGAAAGAAAGAAAGAAATTGATGCAAGGTAGCTTTGATTTCAGAAGCAGTTTATGACGGGGCAAATAAAAGCTTATATTATGTTGTGGCCCGCCATTGTCCATTACAGCCGGAAGCAGAGTCGTACAGCGGGGGAGATGGGGAGGAGCATGGGCCAGTCCTGGAGACTGGGGAAGGCTCGGACGAGGGCTCTGCGTTGGAGGCCGAGATGGGGCCGAGACCATCTGGCAGTGATCAGGTGCCTACGGAACTAGACAGCAGTGAGGCAGAGGAACAGCTGGAGCCTGTTCCCAGGGTGTGCATGCACAGAGCTTCCAGAAGAAAAGAACAGGAAACAATGTGTTCGTTCGATTCATATCAGGAGTGTGAAGATCTGTCCGTGAATCTCCGAGACTCTGTGCCCAGACTTTCCTTGCACCGCACTGTGTTTGGAAAATATTTACATGGCATCTTTCCAAGATAGATAAGGTCTGTGGTCATAGCTTCACCTTTGAAAGACTGTTTGCCAGGCCTTGGCTGAATGGGAATGAGAGGAATTCACATTTGTTGAATAAAAGGGGGTTTGTCAGGACCAGGAATCTTCTTCGTGCTTTTAGGGGAATCCTAGGTCAGAACCCATTATTCCATTTTAGCCTGGGGAGCAACATCCAATCAGATAAACCCCTTTTTTAGGACACTACATCCTCCTGTGAAATGATATTAAAGCCATGCAGGAAAGGCCTTGGAGTTGTGGTTAATACCACTCTTTGAAATTCTTTGTGTGCCGTACTCTGCAAATAGATACAGATATAGATTAACAGAGTTGGAAGGCAACTCGTAGGGATGTGATGACGAATCTATGGCACATCTGCCAGAGGTGACACGCAAAGTGCTCTCTGTGGACACGCACACCATTGCCAGATGCTCTCCTGGTTTCTAGCACACACATACGTGCTGGCCAGCTAGTCTTTGTACATGCTGGAAACTCAAAGATCAGCTGGCCAGTGGGCACAGTTCTAAAGCAGCCGTAAAGTGAGATTTGGACATTNCTGAGGAGAAATTTCCTGACAGTTAGAACAATTAATCAGTGGAACAGAAGTTGCCTCCAGAAGTTGTGAATGCCCAACACTGGAAGTCTTTAAGAGGATGTTGGATATCCATTGTCTGAAACGGTATAGGATTTCTAGCCGAGGCCGGGGGTTGGACTAGAAGACCTCCAAAGTCCCTTCCAACTCTGCTATTGTATTATTATTATTATTTTTATTTAGGGTGAGGGGAGGGAGGGATATATACTATCTGCTATTGTATTATTGATTGGATTCTGGGCTGCACTTTTTAAGTTAGTAAGCTGGAGATTCCATTCAATCTACACACACACACACAGACACACACACAGACACACACACACACACACTTAGACTATCTAAAGTTGCTATCTAGCCTTGTCGGATTGCCATGTAGTACCAAGAAAAGCTTTGAAAAAAGCAATTATGGTCTGGGAGCATTAGCTGAATATGATTCCAGCCGGCATTCTTAAGATTCTTATCTAAAGATTTGAGTTGCTCGCTTGCAGACCAGGGACGCAGCTCGTGTCGCTTCCAATGCAATTGTTGGAAGAAATGTCCATCTGGGTACAGTTCTAAGTGGGGAGAAAGACAGTGGAAACATGGAGGCCGTTTGGAAAGAGGGTTTAATGGTGCTGGGCAGGACGACATGGTTTGAGATCCTGGGCAAAAAGACACATGGGTGAGAGATAGAGTGTCAGGCCTGCATTTATATTCCTTTTAGAATTTATTATTCGTCGGCATGATTTAGAACTAGCGGTTTTGTCGCCGCGGTTTCATCGGGCGCGCTTTTGTCGAGCGCGCATTTGTCAGCAAACCAAAACCCATCACCGAACAGGATGGAAAATGTTTATCAGTGGAATTAAACTTAGCTCTGACTATTACTTTTTTACCGATTTCAGAACTCTAAGCTACGCATAAATCCACATTTCAAGGAATTGAAACAGCTGAATACCCTGGAAAAGAAAAGCTTGCCTCTTTTTCATGAAACTTTCAAGAAGCTCAGATTTTCCCACTGAACTACGCCACAGAATCTGGGTTGTAAAAATCTGTATGTTAGTAAAATGTTAGCTTTCTATATATTTTTTTCTCTCTGACTAGTGGTCAGTCAGATTTATGTAGCTTAGAAGTGGCAGGGAGGAAAACTAAAAGGAAAATAAGATTAAAGGTTCGAATGTGGGTAAGAGGTGATGGATAAGGGAAAATAGAGTAAAATAATATCTTTAAGAATATATTTCAATAATATGCACTAATGTTAGAATTATACAGGTTGGATAATTATTTTAGCAGTGTGATAGATGTCAGGATAATATTTTAATATAAATAGATATGAAGAATTGGAAAATTAGATTTTGAATGACTGTACAACTGTATATGTATAAAAATATGAATAGCAGTGAAATGTTAGAATTAAACAATGGGTGATTATTAAGGTGTGTGTGTGTATTAATAATAGAATTATATGGATTGAAGAATTGGAAAGAGCATAAGTACTTTAAATATATAAATGATTGTGATTGGTATTAAAACTGTATACAGAGATATTGAATAATGCAAAAACGAAGGATGAAATTCTGATTTAATTAAGGAAATATGGATAACAAAAAACGTTAAAAACAAATCTTTGATTATAGCAATATGAAGGAGGGAAAAAGTTAAAATAGGGATAGGAAATAGAGAGGAATAATAGTAATTATATATTAATATGTTAAGATATGCCAAAGGACAGAAAGATGGTTCAGAAATGAAAGGTGATAACATATGAAATAACGGAAATGAAATGTTATATTTAGGAGTAATAAGACACAATGTTTATGCATACTGAAACGTATCACAGATACCACACCATTCACACAGTAGTATGTATAAAGAATATAAAAAATAAAAATTTGATTTGATTTTACCTGTAAGCCGCCCTGAGTCTCTTTGAGAGTGGGCGGCATACAAGCTAATTAAATAAACAAA